TCTAAATTTGTTCAATGTTACATTTACCCATTCTCTTCGTAATAAGAATCAACCGCCCTTGTAAATTCAAATTCTATTCAAACCTGTTAGCTGATTGGTAGCCATTTGTTAAGACCCAATTCGCGTTAAAATGCTTTGCTTGTTTTCTTGATTGACGGAAATTGGGAAAAACCCGTTTGATATCCATGGGAAAATCCAATAGATGGCTTTACAAGATGGCATTGCCTCATTCTCATTAGTTCAGCGCGAAAATGTAAATTAGTTTTAATGATAAAGATGATCTGGTTAAGATAAAAGCTTCACATTCATTTTAGAATTTTATAGATTACACTTATTTGGGTATACATTCGAAAAGAACCTTAAAGTGTAGTTCGACTTGCTGACCTCAGCATCAGCTGGCTGAAAAATGTAATATTTTATTTTTCATTTTTTATAGCTCAGTTTGTTTTTTTGTTTGCATTGTTTTGACAACTTTTTGGGGAGGAGGCGAAAACATTTAATATACGACACCGAGCGTTGCCGCAACTCACTTTTTAATCACTTTTCATGAGCTTTTAATTACACACTTCTTGTTTGGGTTGTGTCGGAATAAAATTTATGAAAAACCAAACGCATAAAATGCTTAACAAGCTCCTGCTGCCCAACCGCAGGACCCATACACACACAAGCACACACACACACACACACGAGTATGTGCAAAAAAAAGATGGGAAAAATATGTGTGCATGTGTGTGCGGGAATAAAATAAAAATATCCCCACTCATTTCCGTTATAATAATGTGTGAAAGGATATTAATTATGAAACAAGCGAACGGCAGGAAGCCCGGGCAATAAAAACAGCAAGCGACAGGAACACCATGCGTGACCAACAATAACAACTACAGGAACATCACAACGACAGCAACAATATATGGCGACTCCGGTATATTGTATTTAATGTGAGTCGGTCGGGGTGCACAGGGAGAAAATGCATAGATACTTTTCCAAAGAAAATTATATTTTCAAAATATATCTTAAAATTGTTTGTAAAAAACTCTTTGAATTTGTATACATTTTAATTCAAGGGTTATATAGCAGTCAAAAAAGATGCTCAAACATTAAAAACTAGTTCCTTAATTTTCAATTTAAATTTGATTTTGCTGATTGTTTATTATTTATTGGAACAATTTTAAAGATTTTCCTTAATTAACAAAATCGCTTTGAAACAAATGTTATATGCCCAACATAAAATTTGCTAAATTAATTGTTTTATTATAATTTATTTAATTTATTTAGTAATTAATTATTATTTATCAATTATAATTAATCAGAAAAAGAAGTAAACCAACTTTAAAAACCCCATTTCTCTCAGTGGAAAGTGGGCGTAGTTGTAGGTGGGTAAAGCGAGGTGAGTTGTGCCGAATTGTGTTGAGTTGGGCGGAGCGGAAACGGGAGCAACATGTGCAACATGTCGAACGGAAGTGTCGGCCATATTCCACACACATGCACACACGCACAGCCATCTAAATAGGCCCACGTCGCACACACACAAATTATGTGTCCTGGCCAAGTAGATTTTTATGTAATGTCGGTCGGTTATTGCTTTCATACATTTATTTTATTTCATTTACCCAAACCGCCTAGAGCAACACCCTGTGTGGCGAATTTCGCATTTTTAAAACTTCTTCATTCGAATACTCTGCCATTCTAAAGGATTTCGTTTAATTAATTATTTAATTGAATTTCGTTGAAATCATATATATTATTATTATTATTCTCTTAATAAATAATACTAACCAATAGTTAAGGTTCTCATTGCATATCATTTTTAATTTTCATAAATAATATATGTTTTATGGAGAATATTACATGCTTTTTTTCAATCGAAATGAATATGACAGTAACTAAATATTACTTGAAATATTAAAACTCCTATTAATTATAAGCAAACAAATTATTTTAATTGTCTTATACATATAAATTTACACATTAGTTGCTGAGTTGAAAAATATGTATTTTTAAGAATAATGCATCTGTAAGTAGAATAATAATTCCCATTTCTTAATACTAATTATAGAAAATGTATTTGTTAAGACACGATTAAGTCACATTTCTTAAACGATTATATATATACAGATTATATATATGTATAGCTTATGTATATACAAATATAACAAAATACATTTGCTGAAAAAAAATGAAATACACCCCACGTTTTATTATTTTTGGGCACTGCTACCGTTTAAAAAAAAAGACTGCACTCGATTTCGCGAAACGAGAAGGACATCTCTTTGTCGTCATTTCACTTATTAAGTTGAACAATTTTTGCCCTGCACTTCATGTCCTGACATCCGAGTCAGTCAACCGGCCGGTGGCCCATTCAGCCAGACATTCAGCCAGTCTGCCGGTGACAGGACCCTCTGCGGCGGCAACTGTCGTCCATCAGAGCCGTGCGTCAGTTGATCACGTTGCGCTCCACGTGACGATGACAGGGACGCCGGAATGCCCAATTCCGAATGCCGGGATACCAGAATGCTCCACTTCACTCCCCTTCACTCCACCTTCCATCCACTTGCCATCCATCCGCCCACGGGCATGTTCTGCGGCTCCTGCGTGTAATTGCCGTTGTAATGTCGCCCGACGCGAATATAATTGCTAAAATGTTGCATAAACCGACAGACGTGCCAATGGTAAATGGCCAATGGGCAATGGCCAATGCCCAGGACTTCAGGCTTCCACTCCGACTCCAACTCCAACTCCGAGTCCGACTCTGAGTCCAGGTCGCGGCGACGACACTTTTCCATTTGAATTTAATTTTAATTTACGCCCAACGGCCGACTCTACTGCTGCTGCTCGTGATGCCCATTGCCATTTTCCGGAAATTGGCAACGGCAATGGCCAGAACATTCCGCATTCCGGACATGGCTCCTGGCTTCTGGCCTGGGACTTGAATGCACACAGAAAAAATTATACAACTTTTACATAGCAAAGATATTTTAACTTTAATTTTGTAAAAATAATAAATGATAAATGAAAAAGGTTCTCTTTACTTTTAAGCATCTTCTTCATGTGTTTATTTTTTTGAGTTGATATTATACAATTTACTTTAATATACTATTTTATATAATGTATAAATATATATTTCATATATATCATTAGTATTTTATACGATGTCCTTCATCCAATTAAGATAGATTTTTGGCAATATATTGCTTGCAGTTGAGAAAAGATTACATGTCTGTAAGTACTCATTACCATTTCAACCCAACATAACTTCATGTTGTCTAAAATATTCCTAATTTATTTAAGATTTGGTCATATATTTACATGTAAAACGCATATTCAACGCCAAATCTAAGTTTTTACTATATCATTTTTAAAGTTATGAATATTATACAGTTTTATATTTTATGGAATTGTTTCTGTAATCTTAGTTCATTAAGAATATGATTTGATTATTTTTGGAGATTTTTGATGGCCCCACTGATACCATGTATAATATAAACAAGCCCCTTTCTTTTGTTTTAAATATTTTTTCAGTGTAAAAATAAAACTAACAGGCAATGCGGATCTGGCCACGTTTCTGACCAAATTCGAGAGGGCTGCCCGCACCGTTGAGTTAATGAGAAGAGACAGAGGTCGGGAGGGGAAAGGAGAAAGGGGAAAGGGGAGAGAATAAAGGATAGATGGGGAGAAAAAGGGAGAAACCCATTGACGGACATTTTATGTGCAACCAGCCGAATTGTTAAAAGAACAGCCAGTCTAATTGAAGAGCTCCAAGCAATTAGTCGATAAATTGAAGTTACAAAACAGCTAGAATCATATATATCCCGCCTAAGTTGAAATAAAAATTAGAAAGGTATGAAACCATATTTAATTTGTAATTCATTAAAAAATCATGAGAAATCAAATAACCAAGTAGATAGAAATATGTATAAGTACAAATTAATTTACACAAATATGTGTAGGATGGACCTAAAAATTTGCCGTGCCTAAAAAAAGACCAGCAATCTCATTAAAAAAATGAACCATATCTTAGCTAATGAAAAAGTTTTCCCATATTAATTAGTGGCCTTAATTCCATATCTATTCGGGAGCTCCGAATTTTCCATTCTGCGTCAATCAATGTGGGTTTTTTTAATGGAGCCGCTTTAGTCATCGCCATAGTGTCTGGGGCTATGAGTAATTTTCCGCTGGCAAAAGTCGTGCTTTCAAGGGCCGACTCATTAAATGCAGAGGGAATTAACAGAGATATAAAGAAATAAAGATAATGCATGAGAAAGATGACGACAAGAGCAGAACTGGAAGCCGACCGATTTGATGAAAACAATTTTCCAAATTTGGCAAAACTATTAACCACGCTACGTTAATTTCATTAGCAAGTCTGCCTTTCTTGTTTCGCTGACCGTGTTTCATCCATACATATATATATACATACATAAATCGCAGCCATTAAATGCGCTAATTAGTTGGTCAATTAGCGTATGCTTACCGGATTGTTTTTGGCTCTTTGTTTGTTGGCCCAAAGAGGCCGGCTTTTGGGCGGCTGAGGGTGGTGCGGTAGGGCCAAAATCAGAGTCACCATCGCTTTGGACGTCAGCGGTTCGGCTCGATCGCCCAACTGTCGCCACATTAATAAATCAGTTTAAATTAATTCAGTTGACAGCTTTTAGTCAATATTGTTGATAAATTGTTTTCTTTTAATTTCGGTTTTTTGGTTATTTGGTTATTTGGCTATTTTCGGTTTTCGGCAACCTGCAGCTGTTGCCAAGGGGGAAAAGAGCTTTGACTGGTCATTAACAGCATTTCAGCTTTGTTAATTAGCTCATTTTGGGACCATAATTCTTGTGGGGATCCCACTGCAGCTTCTCAATGGAAAATAAATCAAAATATTGTTTTAATTACTTAATAGACAGTCAGACAAATATGTTTGTTTATCTTTCTATGATGCTGCTAAGCCATATAAAAAATAACAATTGCTTGGAAGGGAACAAATTTAATCAGTTTTACAGCATTTTTAAGCAGGGTAATTTGAATTTTATTTATTGCGGAAGTGATGGTTTTTTAATAAATATTTTATATACTCTGCTTCTTTTTGGATTGCGTTCTTATTTGGGAAACAAGTTGAAAGGGACTAAAATCCCTATTTAAAAGAGAGAACATAAATCTTGGAAAACAAACTATATTCCCTCGCTGTTTCTGGCATCGCTGAGGACATCGCTCCAGGACATGCTGAACGAATCCTGATCATCTATGTTCCCTCTCTGTACTCTTTCCGATTGAGCATTCTCGAATTCGGCCAGTTTTTGGAGACGGAGTTCCATTCGGCGTTCCAGTTCCTCCGTGCTACTTGGTTTCCGACTAATGGGAGTGTCCCTGCCGAAAAAGGACGATTCGCTGCCCGGCCAACGTGGTGAATTATTTGGACTATTTCGCGAATCAATATTACTGAGATCACTGACACTGGCTGAATAATGTTCCGAAGTCAAATCGATTTCGCTGCTTGAAAGTGGAGTAAAATAAGCATCACCTCCTCCATTTTGAGGAGAATGTTTCTTTACGATTGCAGTATCCGGACTTAATTTTATCATGAGACAGCGACCACGGCACTTGGGCTTTTCCATTTGTAGCAGCCGAATCAGCTCCTCCCGGGAATACATTTCCACATAGGCAAATCCCTTGGGTCGTTTTCCCTTTTTCGGAATAGTTAAAGAACGAATCGAAAAGTTGGTGAAAACCTTGTTTAGCTCGGTTTCTGTGCACTCCATTGGCAAATTGCTGATCAAAGCCAGAAATGGTGGACTTGTTGGTACCATCTCTTCGAGATCGGGAGTACTTAACTTCTTGGGTAGATCGGTCTTGGACTCCTTGGGCGTATCCTTCTGGAAGTAGTGTGATGATGACTGCGAATCCCCCTCTGATGTTTGCACCCGCGTCACGTGCAACATTCCCTCCAAACTTCGACCCGATTCACTTCCGGAAATGGAGGATACGGACGAGAAGCCAACTGGAGGCAACTTGGAACTCCGCGAAGACTTGGACATCTTCAAAAATTAATCAGCCAAAGAAAAAACATATATTTTTAAGGTAATACGTTCGTGTTTGCGTTTGTTAATAATATTTTGTAGACTGTTTGAGTTTACTGAATAATAAAGCAAGGCCAATTTTGGTTTACTATGTTCAATTTTTGTTAAGCTTAAAATTAGCTTGTTAATTATACCAATTTGTTTCATTATTCCAAATCTAGATTTTTCTGGTTCTAGTTTTTAGCAAACATATTGTAAGCTTAAAGTCCAAAATATATCAATTAGCAACTTATTTTTAAACTTTTAAGCACAAAACAGTCAAACTTGTTAATAGATATTTGTTTATTATTCTAAATAATTAATTTTTATCATAGTTCAGTTAAAATAATATATTTATATTTAAGAATGGTTAACATTAATTTATACCTTAATTTTTAGCCTTCGGAGTTTTGGTACACTTTAACTAACTTAAATATGAAAATTACAAACAATGTTTTGTTACTAAATCTGGAAATTAAATTAAATTGTTTGTGTTTAATGGGCATAATTTATATATTCTGACGGCCATACTCCTTATTATTATAATAAGATCTTGATAAGTTATTGATTTTTGTCACTTGGTTATTACTTAGTTATTTAACTCCGTTTATATATAGTTTGCCAGTCACGAAGAATTAGACCAATCAGCCAGATCTTGCGTAGTTATTAGTTTGCTTTAATAACTTATCAATTTGTATCTTGTGGATACTGTCAATTCATAATTCGTGTATTCTCAGGCCGTGATCTCCTTGGAGCACCTGCCCAGAGCCTCAGATATGTATCGAAAATCGACTAGGCAAATGCCAAGGTTCGTGGATCCCAACTGACAACTCTCGGATTTGGTTGGAAAATATCAAAAGTTCAGCAAACAAATGGCATCGAGTTTGAGTTTGAGTTTGGCTAATGCACGGATTGTGTCGTTTTCTGTTTGCTGTTTGTTAGTTTGGTCTTGGCTTGTTGGGTTGGGCAGATACTAGAGGATGGAAGGAGGTTTCCACATTAGGCAACAGGCAACGGGCTACACCCATATTCCGTGGAAAATTGGGTGCGTTGGCCAAACACAAACTAAGGTAAACTGATAAAAATCATGGCCTGCAGCATGAGTGCGAGTACGAGTGGAGTTTTGGGGTTTGGGGATTGGGGTTTGGGGTTTGGGGTTTGGGGCCAAGTAACCGATTGCGAGTGGCCCAGGGGCCCCGAACCACACATAAGTAGTACGTGTCTGGGACCGGGCATTAGGAACAGACAGGCTAAAATATTAGGCCAATTATATTTCAAAAATTTACATGACGATGATGTTGACGATGGCTGGGTCATCCATAACCCAAACCAGTCCCACTGAAAACAATTACCACATCCTTTAAATCGAGCCTATAACCAAGACATTATTAGCTTAATTATTTTAAAAGAATTTATGTATTAAATATTAATTAAAGCAATGGTAAATATAATACTTGTTTGTTTGCATTCGTTTGCATACTTTCCGATTTGGTACTTTCATTGAATCATTAGCAAGGTTTTTTTAAAGATTTTGTTGTTCATTTCTTGGTTGAGTTTATTTACATTATTGTTTTATTAAAATTAAGTTTCTATTTTTATATTTAAAATCGCCTTAAACGTGTATTTTTTCTTACTTTTTTGTAGAAACTTTTGATATATTATAGGCAATAGCAAAAGGGTATTATAAAAAGGCTTTTTAAAGTAAAGTGTATGTTTATAAAAGTACCTTAAATTTATATGTGAAGTGTTATGATGTAAACAGTGAAATAAGGCTGAGTTTGGAACTTGCTTTTGGTATTCTATTATATTTTATCTGACTTAAGATCTGTATTCATGTAATAAAACACTATTATATTTCAGGAGCTGGAAAATATATACGAAAATATAAACCATTAAAGATATTATAAAATCACATACAATTATTTGCGGAGTAAAGAAATGTTCTTAAAAGAATTCTAGGGTTTGATAATATGTACCTAAATTTTACTAGTACTTTGAAATTTTATTTTTTTATCAGTGCAAGTACAGTGTGTTCACGAAGGAAGCGTCAAGTGGCCTCCGCCTCCAGGGTTTTTTTCAACGATATCTTGATGCTCTCACCATTGAACGTGCATGGGCATAAGTCTGGTGTCTGGAGAGCTACTCGTATCTGGGCACTAGGATCGCCTTTAGCCACACGGAATTTTCTTTTCTTTTCGCTTAATTTCATAGGAAAACGCTGTATGAAACGTAGGTGGCAGGGGGCAAAAGGTGCAGCGAAGGTAATTAATTTTGAGGATTAGGCATCGGATTTTGGCGATAACAACGTGTCCCCATAATTCTCATATTGAGGGGCCATACGAACACGTTCACAAGCCCTATCTTTAGCTCATCTTGATGGCTATGGGACTTACTTTACTGTGTCTTCTTTGTGGGTCACCAAAGGGCAGCACATTGAAATTAATAATTGGATAGTGGGAATAAGATGCATAAAGATGTATACAACTTACGTTTGAGCAGCTTACAAATTAACACACAAACTCGTAATGAAAAATATGTATTACTTATTTTATTCGGTAATTTAATTATTAAGTTTCAATAGGGTTAAAACAAAAATTAAAGAAATTATTTCCTTTATACACCTTAAATCATTGCCTATTCCTTATAAAAAAATTTAATTTCAATTTAAATTCATAAGTCATTTTAAGTTTATACAAACATAATTATAAGTGTTGAATTAAAAGTCAACATGAATACCCCCGAATTCATTAAATGCTTAATTTCCAACAAACACAAACCAGAACCAAAATTGTAATTTCTTGATTATTTTCGGTAATTGAACCCATTCAAATAAACGGAAAATATTAAACACAACAAACCACTAATTATAATACCTAATCAGCGTTTTCATTCACCTCTGTTTATTTATTTTGAGGAAAACAAACTACCCCAAAGCCCCAAAAGCAGTCGATCCAAAGCCAAATTCAAAAACCAATGCAGAGCACACAAAACACACGAAAAGTGTTCCACATGACAGCGTGAATAATTTGTCACCAATTGACGGAAAAGCCAAAGAAGGGGCGGTACCAAAATGAAAACCGTCATCAGGTAAATGCAATTAGCCCCGACTGGGGTTTGATTGATGTATTTCGAATGAGCTGCGCCAGGAAAATTAATTAGCTTTAAATTATGTAGGTAGCCCGAAATCTGGAGAGCTGGTGCTGCTGTCACACCCCAAAAACGTACCCAGTTCTATTCCGAGCTTCAAACAAGCTTGAGCACCTTATTAATTAATCAATTGGCTTCGGCAAATTGTCTCGAGTGGAGCAATTATCATGATTTGCTTAAATGCAGCTTATGGTCAACTGGAAAATGTTCATTAGGCGGTTTAGCAATGTGTTCACGTTGTTTCCCTTCCAAAATTCCAAGTCTAAATAATCGGTATTGATTTTACTTCTTGGAATATACTATCTTGGTTTTTTGTATGAATCGATTTTTTTTTCTAGAGACATTAACATTAAATACAACATTTTCTTATGTAGTAAAAATGGATATATAATTCTTATCTTTATAAATGTATTCTTTAATACTGAAACATTAAAATTGTTGAAGTAGAAATATGGAAATGTTATGAATTGATTATTGGCCATATATTTTCTAAGATGAGCAGTCTTTTAAAAATGTGCAACTGTGGGCAATATAATCGATTTGACAATCCTGAGCCGCCCATCGAATTTCTCCAACAACTTTTCAACTTTGCCACCCCTGTTTTGTAATCTTTATGGCCATCTCATTTGCGCCTGGAATCATCGCATAGATGACTTCCCCCGGTATCGAAATCTGGGGAATCTAAGGCCGAAATTGACAAATGCACGGATTGAACAGGCTCGAAATGTGGAAATTTATCAATCGGAGGGGTTTTCACACCGAATCCGGTCCGCAGCGAAACCGGGCACCGGGAAATAATATGACTTTAGCCACGGTTATCAATAACCAGGCATCGATATTTTATGAAAATTGATACGCCACACACACAGCAACACACAGCGGGGATGGAAATAACACACAGCAACACACAGCGGGGATGGAAATAAAAATAAATAATAATGGCCATTATTACAGTTTATTCCATGCTGAATAGTTTCGCCCACTCGTCTGTTTGGATAGCGAGTCCTTCGAGTCCTTTTCGTCCTTTCGCCGATGCCACTCATAAGCGAACTAATCCGTCAAAATTTATTGCCACCACCGAGGGGAGCCACTGTCGAGCCAATTGATAACGTGCGTGTGAAATTTATCAAATAAATTGAGGCCATAAATGTCAAAGCTGCGCATGATTCATAGACAGACAATCCGAGAGTCGAGGAATCCCCTTATTAGCCAGCTTCCGTTGGAGTTACAGAGTTTCGGTTCAAGTTAGAAGTCAATCCCACATTGGATTAGCTGACAAATTTCGGTAATTTCCAAATGGAGCATTTATTATGACTCAGGCGAATTTATTAAACTCCCATCAAATGGCAAGCAGTGAATTATTATTGGCATTATTGTTTATTAATTATATTGCCTAACAATTACTTAGGTTTGCAGTCCATTATTACTTTAAATTGGATTTGTTTATTTATCGTGTCTAATCATAACATTAATTAGTTATTTATTGCTATCAAAATTATATAAAACAAGAAAGAAAAGCTAACTTCGGGCGGAGCCGAAGTTGATATACCCTTGCAGAATATTCTGTAAATTATATTCTCCAAAATTATTCATATGATGCAATCTTAATACTCATAAAAAATCCCAACTTCCTAACTTTAAAAACACCAAAGTTATGGCATTTAAAATCGTTCAGTTATATGGCAGCTATAGGATATAGTCGGCCGATCCTTATGAAATTTGATAGGTTGGATTGATTGGTTAAAAATAGAACCCATAGAAAATCCCAACTTCCTAACTTAACAAAAACCAAAGTTGTGGCATTTCCGATCAATCAGTTATATGGTGGCTATAGGATATAGTCGGCCGATCCTTATGAAATTTGGTAGTTCGGATTGATAGGCCAAATATAACACCCATAGAAAAT